CCCTCAGAGGGGCAGAGCAGGGCCAAGCCCCCCACAGCAGGGGTCTGGCGGGCCCCCCCCCATGCTGGGGCAGGGCACGGTGCCCCCACACTGAAGAAAAGCCCAGGAGAGCCCTCAATGGGGTGGTGGGAGACCCACAACCACGGGGGGCCCATCACAGCTCCCACCTTGGCGGCCCTGCAGCCCCACACCCACCTTGGGCCACCCCACGTGCCCCCAGGCGCATTGGGGTGGGGACACGCGGGGTGTCCCCCTCCCTTGTCACCCCCTTTCCCCCCCACAGTGGCCGGTGGCGGGGTGCTTGCCCCACGGCGCGATGCCGACTATCTCTTCAGCAGCGACGCTGCCCACCCGGACACCCGCAGGTGCGCTGCGTCCCCCGGCTGTCCCCCTCCATGTCACCCCCACCTTGCCTGGGAGATGCCGGCGGCTCTGTTTCACGCTCGCGTTGAGCCCTCTCCCTGCGATGGCAGCGTGCTGGAGAGTCGTGGGGGCACCGATGGTTGCATCTAGGGAGGGAAAGATAAATGAAAGCAGAGAGAACAGTTCTGATGTACTTTAAAAATATTTAATGGACGCCAACGTTATTTTAAAAGCCAGGGTGGTGTTTTTAAAGCGCCTGGTGCAGGTCTGCCGGGCTTTTAGTGCTTAGTGGGGTCTGAAAACTCATACCTGCACTGAACCGTGCCCCGGCTAAACAGCAAACGGCGTAAAAACCATCCGCGCATTAGGCTGGCTTAACTCCGATGTCAATTAAACTAATTGCGCTGGTTTTCTTTGAATCGATCTGCTGGAAAACTCAGGGTCTAAAATAGAGGTGCCGCCGTCCCCGAGGAAGGAACCAGGTGCAAAAAAAGTCAGTGTGGGTTCACTCTGTGAGAGCAAATGCAGGGGTAAAAATGGCTGGAAAAGGGCTGAATTGCTACTTTCCTCGTTGCTTAATCTAAAAAAATCAGAGCTCAACAATGTTGATATAAATATAAGGCCACTGAGCATCTTCCTCCACCCATATATATTTATATATATTCAATATCATGTAAATATATTGACATGAAAGGGAACTGCAATGTTTTCTCACAGTGTTCTGCAGCAGGCTTTGCTAGGCAGGACTCAGCAGCTTCTTTTAACACACAATCGCTTAAAACTGGCTGAGATTTCTGTAATCCTTCAGCCACATGCTTCAGCTGTGCAAAGGGAATCCTGAGAAACCCGGAGCAACGACCTTCCTTCCACCACAGCATCCCACCGGACTGGCTTATTCCCCCAGGGGGAATCATATATAATTATACATATTTTTTCAATTTATATATTCAGATTATTTCTTGGGAAAAATGTAATCATTATCCATACCCTTAAACTCAGCAAACAATATTTAATTCCTGTCTAACGAGCACGGTGAGTGTTTGAGCATCCTCCACCCACCCTTCCTCGCTCAGCTGCTTGGGGACCACGCTGTGAGCCTGAGCAGGGACCGCTGGGGTTAAGAATAAATAAATAATAATCAGATTTTTCCCTGTTTCGAAGAACCGGTCTCACCTCGAGAGCAGAGTGCCATTTAGTCCCTAAAAATATGTGTTCGCCTGGTCCCCGCTGTCCTTCCTCCCTGGTGCTCTCAGGAGGTGCTGGCAGCTGGGACTTTAACAGGATGTTGCTGGTAGAGTCTCACAGTTAGAAAATTACAGAAAATTATTTGCTGTTGGCAAAAATACAAGAGCAGGTTGGTTCTAACGACAACATCCCTTCAAACTTCTTTTGGTTTGCGTTTTTTTCAGGCTTACCTTTGGAAACTAGTTGCCTTTTTCTCTTCCAGAATACACGAGAGCCTCGATTACATGGAGGGCAGAGCTACCGTCTTTCACTCCCGTTACATCTCCGCGTGGGCACGCGCCATCACAGGGGCGAAGCCGTCGGCAGTTCTGGGCCACTTCATCCTGCCACCCGCCTGCCTGCAAGAAGGTCAGGGAAAAAAAAAAAAAACAAACATCAGGGTTTGGGCAGAGGGAATTTCCTTCTGCTCGAAGCGATTCTTCCTCCCCGGGGACGGAGGAACTCACATTCCAGGCTGCGAGCTCCTGCCAGGGCTGCCAAGCGCCTTCGCCCGTGAGAAGCAAGGACACACACACGACTTCCGTGCTGTCTTATTATTTGTTGCTTTCATGGTCATTTATTTTTTGTTCCTGGCAGAAATCAGAAGGAAAATCGGTTGTTTTATTTGGGAGCAGGCGGATGATTCCCTTGCAGAACAGGTAAGATGAGAAATACATCCCGCAGGAGGCATAGCTTAAAAAAACCAAAATCAGTTATACCAACTTCAGGGACCTTGGGTTTCATCCCATGTAGCTCCAAGACACCGCCCGCTCTCTACTCAAAGCAACTTCTCAGTACTTTTGAAGTGAAGATGCGATGAGATTGAAAATTGCATTACAAATTATGCTTGAAATCACATGTCCTAAAAATACCGCTCTCTTGGAGCATGTCTCTAGTACTGGTTTCATGGGGTACCCAGGGCACAATTTTAACTTGACTCTGCGTCGATGCTCGCAGCCCAGCGAAAATCAGCCGGATGAACCGGAGGTGGCAAAAAAAGGCTGTGAGCAAGAAGCGGAGGGGAATCTGCTAGACCTGACCGAAAGGTATTTTCCTGCCCTCGGCGGTAGGATTTGGATGTGCCCCCCCTCAAATTTCAAGAGATCCCCAACGCATTGGAAATAACATAGATTTTTTTTCTCCCCAATACAGCAGCGAAGAAGAAACTGGTTCCAGAGGGGAAATTCCATACCGCGCCCTCCGGGAATACCCGAAGAATAACATGGTGACAGGTAATGTTCGGAGTCAATAAGATTTTTAAGGAGTGAAAAATATTCATAAAAACAGAGGAAGCAGGGACCCCCCCGTGCTCCTTGCTTCCTCCCAGTACCTACAGCAGCGTAAGTGCTGAGGGTGCAACTGGAATCCCTCCCTTCTCCTCTGCACTTTCTGTTTTTCGTCTTTTTCGTTGGAGAAGAGGGCAGCTAATCTGCTGAGACCCACGCTTTCCCGTTGCAGGCTACCCCTCTGCTCGCAACATGAAGAAATACCTTGGGGAGCTTCGCGATTTCATCCCCGGCACCTCGGGCTATGCGGTGTATTGGATTCAGGACGAAATTAACATTTACTCTGACTTGAAGACTAAAATGAAGAGAAAATTGTAAGAATACTTACAGGTGGCTTTAAGCCAGAGAGCTGCCGGTTGTGTTTGGAAATTTAATCACATAGTTCCATGCTGAGGTGTCGCCTTGCTTGCACTCTTCTGCAGATCGATGGTTATTTTAACCGTCAGTCTGCGTTCTCCCCATTTTTAGGTAGTGAAGAGATTGGTGTTTTTGCGTTGCAATTTCTGAGTTAAATCTCCATGGTACGCAGGGGGATTTATAAATTATCCCTGCTTGGTTTATCCTGTCTGCAGCTCAGCACGTTCGATGTATATTTAAATACCTGGCTACGTTTCCTGTATTTTCTTCTTTCAAGAACTATTTAAAACAAATTTCATAGCAAACTTGAATACTGGCATTTCTCCCCCAAATGCAAATCCTTTGTCCATTTGTTTGTACCGGGCGACGTGGCTGCGAACAGTCGTTTTCCTTGGATGGGCACACCAAGGTCTCCTTGCACCCACCCATGGTACACACCCAGCGGTGGGACACCGTGGGGACAGGCAGGGGCTGGCCCAGGGTCTCCAGGGCACACGGGAGCTTCGGAGCCCCCAGACTTCCCCGAAGGAAAACCCACATCCATCACGGGCCACGTGAGCACCGGAGCCGGTCACGGCTCAAGGAGGGAAAACCCAGCGACCGTGATCCCTCGCCCAGCCCAGGAGTGCTGCCGGCCCCCGTGTCACAGCGCTGGAGGATGCCACCAGCCACGGCAGAGACCTCCGGGTCTCCTCTGCCTCCAAGGAGAGCGCCTGCAGAGCAGAAGAGTTTTGGGGGGGGTGAACCCCCAAAATTCTCCCATGCCTGCTGCACCCTGGGGAAATTGTTGGATGGCACGAGCCTCCCGACGGCCCGTCTCCAGGCTGTGCTCAGGGGGTTCACCCTCCTCAGAAAGAAAAGCCAAGACAGGCTTTTTCCTTTCATTTAAGCACTTCAATGTGACCAAGGCAGTTATAAAAAGCAAATTTTATTCTGGCACAGGGTGATCCCCGAGATGTCTGCTTGCAGGAGGCCTGGGCAAACCCGGGAGGTGCTGAGGTTTTCCTCTCTTAGCACCGGAGAGCCTGTAAAATAACAGCTTTGAGCCTCACACCCCAAACAGCCAGGAAAGAACCCCAAAAGATGAAGGCGCCGAGTCCTCCTCACCCTCTGAAGCCTCACACACCTGTACCCAGGACGCAGGACCCCGAAGAACCAGCCCTCCCTCCTCCTCCTCCCAGGGGATGTGGGCTTCCAAAGATGAGGCAAGCTGAGATGGTTTCCCCACGTTTATTGTAAAAGTGACATGAAGTGAGCGACTCAGAGAGTTCCTCGGGGCGTTTTGAAGTTCATCCCCACCGTGGGCTGTGTCACCTGCAGGTTGGACAAGCTGCCAAAGTCCTGGAAAACAGCGAGAGATGGGATCGGTCACGTCGCCCTGCCCGCCATCTGCACCCGACCCCGCCGAGGGTGGAGGCACGTTCTTCCTGGGAGGAGTGGGAAGTGGAACTTGCTGCGGTAGCACCAAGGATGGATTCGCATCTCCAGAAAAAATGGGAGACGACCACCCTGCTCCAGAATCTGGTCTTTTTATGGGCCAACCCATGTTCACTTCCACCAGCGAGAGCCGATGAAGAGGCCATGGTGTCAGCAGGTGCTGCGGGAGGGGACAGCAAGGAACACACCCACCCTGCTAGCGGGGTCCCGGGCAAAGCCACCCCACCTCTCCCCTCCCAGGAGCCGTACGGGCAGGTCCCAGAGCAGAGGGACCCCCACCGGAGTGCTGAAGCCTTCAGCTGACACCATCAAGCCCCCCAGGGCAGCAGGAGCACTGCTGGGGACATGCCACCAGCCTGGCAGGGTTACCCCGAGCAGGGGGACAGCTAGAGACACTCACCAGGAGCTTCAGCATTTCCTTGGTGTCCGGGTCCACTTCGATGATCTCCTGGTCGAGAGCGGAGACCTGGGGACGGAAGGGAGATGGACGCAGTCTGACAAGGCCCCGCAAGCATGTCCCTGCTGCCACCAGGGTGTCCCCACCCGCCCCACTCTGTTCCCATCCCACCACAAACAAGATCTCTCTGCCTGTTGTGGGCTCCAGAACCGGAACGAGGCAGGGGGACCATGATGGAGACCAGCCAGAACACTGCAAGAGGCCACTGGGGTTGGGTCCACAACTGCACCGGTCCCAGTGGTCACAACCGATGCTCAAGCTCGTCCTGCGACACGAGTCCTCAAGGCCGGAGCCTGACAGCAACGCTGAGCAACCGCCTGGTCTTCTGCTCTTTAATCCCAGAGCAACCTCCTCCAACCCTCTCCGGACCCCAAACCTCCATCTCCACACGCTTCCTTCCCCAAGAGGCTGCGTCACACCCAGATTCTCATAAGAAATGGTGAATTAATGTGGGTTCGGCTAACACGGCATCGACAGCTACGGCACAGATGCTCCTTCCCTGCTCGGGGTGGCTCTGGGGGGACTTCCCCCGCCAGCACGACCTTCGAAACTTAGTGGGAAGGTCACTACATAAAACACACGGATAGTCACCCCAGCCCAAGGCCCCAGCACCAACTGTGCAGGTCAGTGCTGTGCCATCACCCAAAACTTGGGGCATTGAGGCATCTGCGAGAGGACACGCATGGAGCTGCCATATTTCACACGTCATTTCTGTCAGGAGTGAGGATTCTCTCATGGAGAGCCATGTCACCTCACCCCAGGCTGCGAAACCACCCAGGTGAAGCAGTGAGGGCACTCCCGCTGCAGATCTCGAAGCCGGGGAGGACAGCACCAGCCACAGCTCCCGTGATCTCCCAAAATAACTGTCCACGTAACCAAACCCTGCGCCAAACCCCAGCACCGGGAGCTGAGGGAACAGAACCAGCAGCTCTACCAGAAACCAAACAGGGAGATCAGGAAGAGACGCGCTGTGTCTGAAAGCTACAGGATTTGGGAGGGACAGGATCGAACCCATCGAACACGGGAGACGCGTTCAGAGCTCTGCTCCTTGCGCTATCAACGGCCGGGTATGACTGAGACCCCAACCCCTTGTGAACGCCAGTTTGAGACGTGGGTTTCGACAATTCCCTCTTTTCAGCGACATCTGCTGTACAGCAGGTTTTAAGCCGCTCTGAAATATTTTCCTGCATCCCATAAAGTTCCATTTTTCCTCCATTTTCAATTAGGAAAATCAAGGAGAGAGCATCTGCTGACCAGCAGTGGAGCTGAAACGCAAGAAATCAGATGCTCCTCCCACCCCGGGCAGCAGTTTTGGGGGAAGCACCTCGATACAAGGCCAAAATCTACCTCCGTTCTCTTATGCCCCAATCCCTCCTCAGCTCCTCCTGGCTCAGGTTTTGTTTCAAATAAACTTGGGGCCACTAACAGAGAAGAAACCTCAAGGCCAGAAGTGCTGACACAAGCACTCCAGCGCAGCAAGAGCCTCACCTCGGGGACGTAGTTGTCCCTCCTCTCCCTCTCCTCCTCCTGCAGTTTGATGGAGATGCCTCGGACGGGTCCCCTCTGAATGCGTTTCATCAGGTGGGTGACATACCTGCGGGGGACACAGGACCATCCAGAGCTTCCACACACTCCCACAGGCCACATCTCCCTTCTCCAACCTCACAATCCCAAAACTGTGGCACGATGACGGGACGGAGCCTCCTCCAGTAACCCTGGCGATGTCCCACCACCAGCCTGTCACACCAGTGTCCCCAAGGATGTCCCACCACCAGCCCCAGTCCCACCAGTGACCCCGGGGTTGTCCCACCACCAGCCCTGGTCCCACCACTGACCCTGGTGATGTCCCATCACCAGTGCTGGCCCCACTGCTGACACCAGCGATGTCCCACCAACGGAGCCTCCTCCAGTAACCCTGGCGATGTCCCACCACCAGCCTGTCACACCAGTGTCCCCAAGGATGTCCCACCACCAGCCCCAGTCCCACCAGTGACCCCGGGGTTGTCCCACCACCAGCCCTGGTCCCACCACTGACCCTGGTGATGTCCCATCACCAGTGCTGGCCCCACTGCTGACACCAGCGATGTCCCACCACCAGCCCCGGTTCCACCA